GATTGACAAACTCATTGGGACCCCTGTGCGTTCAACCCCGTGTTGAATGAGAGTCGGCACACGCCGGCCCCGCCCAAATGAAGTTCAGCTGTTCTCGGCCCGTCCTGACAAAAACGCATGGACGGACCTACCCAGTCAAACTAAAACTTCATGCTAACGTGTGATGGAAACGACATAGACGGGCGAATGACTGCATTGGTGAGGCATATTTGAATGCAAACCCACACATGGAGGCAGAGATCAGATTAAAAAAAAAAAAAAAAATCATTCACAGGCGTATATTCTTTATCCGCTATAAAGAGCAACGAATCTTACTGTGGCTTACTGAACACCAGAAGGAGCAGCACAACAGCCACTGAATTGAAGGCAAAAATGTTGCAGCCGATCTATTATGTCATGACTGTATATTTTGAATTCAAGTTCAACCTTAGTATTTATTGAAGAAACACACGCGATTGCATGTTGTTGTTTGTGTCAGCGGCAGATCGGGAAGAGTGTCGTGGCAATTCACCTGGAAATGATCAAGCATTTGTTTCCACGACAAGACTAAGAGAGCCTCTTTGCGGATCTTCTTTGGGATTTCCGAGTAGAGCAAAGAGTTCTCTCTGCTTCCGTAAGGCATTCCTGACAAACGGAGAGAAAAAGACAGCAGGGACACCTTCAACGAAAACCGGAAGAAATGTCACCCGAGAGCCTATTTGTGCCGCGCAGGGGGTTGAGAAGGTCAAGAGGGGAAAAGGAAGCGAGAGCAAGCGCAAGCGCAAGTCCCAAACCTACCGAGGTAGTATAAGCGGTGGGAATGGGGTGCATTTTCGTCCTTCTTCTGCACAAACTGGAAGTCGTGGGGCGCCTTGTTGGCGATGGCGCCCGAATACTTCCTGCTGCAATGGATGATGTCGCGGAGGCCTTCCCACGAGTGCTTCTCCACAAAGAACTGAGAAGGCACGTCCTCCATCTCCACCACCTCCGTGCTGTCCGAGAGGCCGTCCACAGCCGTCATCCTCACTGTAACGCAGCTGAACGTCCACCGACGTGACGTGACGTGCGGGGATCACTTGGAACTGACTTCCTCTCTTTGTAATCACAGTGGAACCACCGCCTCCTTTTTTTTTGGGGGGGGGGGGATTGTGGGGGGAAACTGATCACCGCCGCAATTTTTGTGCTTTGCGCCTGCTTGGACTATGAAAAATCCCACCTTGTTCACCCCCTTATTTCGTGACACGAGAAACAAAGAGACTTGTGAAAGCTATTTCCTCCGCACGCGAGAGGAGTGCCGCCAGGTATCGCCAGTCGGCCGACAGCGGCCTCCTTTGGAAAAAGTGAGCGCTCCTAAAAAGGTTGCCAGTAGCACCGGTACTCGTCAGCGATATCAGTTACTGGCGCCGCCTAGTGGCCGGTCTACAACTGGCCAGTAAAGGGCACGCACGGCTGGCTCACGGAATCTGTCCTTTGAAGAGACAATTTCTCTCCGAGGATATGCATGAGGGACGCACGATATTTATCGGACCGACAACTGCCTACTTTGTTGAACGTGAATGGACCTCGATATAGTTTTCATATTAGGAGTATGTGTCGCATTTTTCCTCTGTATGCTTGCAGTTTATCTTACCTCGAATCTGGTTGCTAGTTTTCCTATTTTGAAGCGGTGCTTACATTTTTGGTTTTTTAATCAATCTATATTCATCAGTGGCAGCTAAAATGAAATACTTACAATGCGATGAATATTTCAGCCGTCTCGTTTTTCCAACTTCAGATTGTCATGCTGCACGCTTAACGGTGGGACCTGTACTGTATTATTTTGCACATCGATTGATTTTGAAGTGAGATGAAAGCTCGGGGAGTTGTCGATTTTCATGTGTACTTATTACAAACGAATCCCCATTCAGAGTGAGTGATGTGCGTTTTGTTTTGAATCGAAGCGCCGAATTTTGTCAGAAATCAATGAAATCGTTTTGTCAACGATTCAAGAGAAATTGTACGGCTCAAAAGTACCAGCGGTATCGGTGACTCGAGATCAGTATCGGTGAGCGTCAGCAGTCGAGTACGACTGCTGGTATCGGTTTGCAAAAAAGTAGCATCCAACATCCCCGACGTTCACGGTAAACTCGGCTGAATAGCAAACGATGCCGTTTTTGGAGCGTTTGCCTTCGGAGGTTCCACTGCAACGACACGCGTTACGCGAAGCCAAGTGCGTTCATCGATCTTCAGAAGCACCGGCGAAAGGGAAAACCATACCTTTTCCAGAGACCCTCTTCTGTTTGGCAAAGCTTGGCCTTCTTGACTCTATGCATTCACCGGTCAACGCACCTCTGGAAACCTGCAACGTATCATCAGCATTTACAGCGGTGACATTCCTCAAATGGTGTTCGCGACAACCAAATGAAGTCGAGCTTTATAAATAGCACGTCCCTGTTTGTTTCTTGACGCGTGAGTCCGCGGAACATGTTCTGAACAAAAACGAGTGGAACCAAGTCAACCCTTCGCCACGCGGCGCGGAAGCCGCAAATCTTGCGGCGAAGACCGATGTTTAAATGGGGCTCACTTTTGGGCGAGACTGCAATAGTTGTCCTCGGCTCGGATCGAGGCAACGTACGGTCTCCGCGCAATTCTCCACATTCCTTCCTTTATAATCGGAGTTGGGTCAGGGATCAGTGTGGGCAAAAATGTACTCTCGGCTCCGGAGAAGAAGTGTGTTTAGGATTGCGCCAGGACAGTGGCCCTCAGAGTGTGACGCGCAAAAGGATGTCTCAACCAAATGTGCAAACTATTTTATTCTTCCACTACATTCGATTCTACGATTTGATAACATCGCTTTCGAATGGACTATCGCACGCCCAGCGTTCAAAGAGATAAAGCTTGATAACGCGACAGGAAGCGTTAATTACGGCGCGCTCTCGGCGCGAGTTTACGCTGCAAACAAATGCGGTGCGGCTCAGCCTCTGTCTATCAAACGTCACGGCTAAGAATTTGCTTTTGCAGGCGCTTCAACCTCATTTGAATCATTTCAAAATCAAATGTACTGGACATACGTTTTTAAGAGCTTGTATTTACATCAAACGTTTTCTTTAACTCCTATAAACGTGGGGTGGAAAATGCGTGTCCCGTGGCGACAACGGTTGAGAACCCTGGCTCGGAACCCCACCGAAGAAAAAAATCAAAGCCGGACCTCGTTTTTGATGAACAAGCAGCTATGCTACTGTATGTTGATCGTTATGAAGAACATTCACAGAATCACTGTGCTCGGAGGTGAGGAGAGTCCCTCCAAGTAGCTTTGTACAGTGCGCAGCAGTCTTATTAGCTTACAACTTGTGATCACATCACTTTGCAAGCAATGTGACTGACATACGGTGTTCGGAATGACAGAAAAGGGGAACAACAAACGACAGTCCTCGTAATTGTCAGTGTCCGCATTTTGATTCTTGACATCACACGAAATGTGTATGTCATCACCGTGTCAACTTGGTGAGGAACTCAATTGCAACAATATCGCTGGTGATGGGAAGAAGCTGTCGATAAAAGATCTTTCTTCTGTTTTTTTTATTTAGTGACACATGGGGGGGGGGGGGGCACCGGTGTTGAACATTTGCCGCACGCAACGATAAGATTCATTTGGCAACGGGTGGCAAAACCCGAACTTGCTTTTCAGACAGAGGTGAGAGCGGACCAATCCTCGTTTCTTCAAGTGTTGACATCATAGTTGTCGACTGTCATTTGCGCTCCGAAGCTATCTTGCTAACGATTGCTACCGTTAATTTAGCTCCAAGCTAGCTGGCCGATAGCTAACGCTAGCGGTTTCGGCTTCGCGTAAAAAAAAAAATCAAATTACATTTTTAAAAAACGTGCACTACCCGTATGCAACCAACCCAAATAAACGGAAGCACTTACCAAACTACGCGCTGTTTGTTCTCTCGAGCAGGAGGCTTTCCTAGCTTGTCAATATTTTGCCACAGCTGAGGGTTGTGGCCATTGCCCGGAGCGGCCACACGAAAATGTTGCTCGCTTTCAGAGCAGAAAGCGGCCGGAACCTTTGCTCGCAATTGTGCTGCACATACCCGGGACACTTTCAGGAACGCACCGTGCCGATGGCCGCATCAAGATCGGCCTCGCTATACTCAACCGCTCGTGACTCCAACTTTGCTGTGGCGCAACAACCTTCACAACGTCTGTTTACAATCTTTCGGAGTTGAACGATATTGAGTGACAAATAAAAAGTTTGAAATTAGAAGAAAACAAAAAACTATTTGTCGCACAATGGAGAAATTCGCAATTTACAGCAGCAAAAATGCTCAAAAGGAGAAAGAAAAACAAAACGCAAAAAGTATTTGCACGCACCCAAAAACATTGAAGGAATATTTGCACAAATTGCAACTTAGTCGGATGAAGTAAATATTCCAATACGTTTATCATGCTACGTAGATTAGTGATACCTGACAATAACGCAGAGCTTCAGTTTGTGCATGTTGAACTCAACTCAAGTGTATTTCTCGAGCACTTTCAAACAGCCATCGCAGCATACAAAGTGCTTGCTGTACACTGAATATTCGGCAAGCCTCCTCGCTGCCCATCTTTCAAACCCGCCTCAAAACTCATTTGTACTCTTTGCCATTTGACTCAGCGTGACCCATCCACCGTCTTTGTTACTGATTTGTTGCTTTGCTTTACTGTTGTATGTTCGATGCTCCGTGTACAGCACTTTGTGTGCAGCGAAGGCTGTTTGAAAGTGCTGGAGAAATACATTTGAGTTGAGTACATGGAGCAACTATCATATATACAACAAGAAAGCAATAAACAAGTAACAAGGACGGTAGAAAGCACCAAACAGTCAAACTAAGATCAAGTCTGAGTCAAATGCCAAAGAATACAAGTGAGTTTTGAGGCGAACACCTCCAGTACAACGCAAAGTAGCTTTCAGAAGGCCAATATTCCTCAAGAGGAATCGTCAAGGCAGGCAGGCAATCAATGAGCGTTTGGAACATGAATCAAGAAGTCAAGCAGACAGGTTTGGTGGAGTACACGTTTTTTGTTTTTATTTATACAAAGCATCCGGCCATTTTACTTCAGAGGGATGAAACGGGAAGAGTGCGTGGCTCCGATACCAGGACGACCGTGCTTGACCGGCTTGTAGGTGATTGAGAACTCGCCCAAGTAGTGGCCACACATCTCGGGCTGTGGGGACAAAAACACTTCCTTTAGTAATATGACAAATGCATTCAGGTCAAGGACGGGCAGTTAGGAAAGATGCTCGTTTTTCCACATTGGACAATCGTACAATACAATTTCAACAAAGCGTGCACGTTTTGGCAGGCATCTGCAGACATCCCTGCGCTTTCATTCGGAACTGGCATCTTTGCGCGGTTGAAATTGAATTAGGACCACACAATCACCCCTCCATTAATTGAGGGTCGCGGGTGTGCCGGAGCCTCTCCCAGCTGTCTTCGGGCAGTAGGCGGGCTACGCTACGACCCGAACCGGTCGGCAGCCCATCGCACAGACAAACAACCATCCGCGTTCACGCTCACACCTCGGAACAATTTTGAGTGTTCCGTGAACCTGCCGTGCGTGATTTCGGAATGTGGGAGGAAACCACGAGTACCCGGAGAAAAGCCACACAGGCACAGGGAGAAGGTGCAAACTCCACACGGGAAGGCCGGGACCACAGAATCGAACGCCGCACCTCCGCACCGTGAGGCGGGCGTGCTCACCGCCACTCAATCGGACATCCGCATTGAAGCACTCACCTTGATCTCAACCTGGTTGAAGGTCTTCCCGTTGTAGACGCCAACCATGGAGCCGACCATCTCGGGCAAGATGACCATGTCCCTCAGGTGGGTCTTCACCACCTCGGGCTTCTCCATGGGCGGAGCTTCCTTCTTGGCCTTGCGCAGACGCTTCAGGAGCGACTGCTGCTTACGGCGCAAGCCACGGTTCAGCCTCCTCCGCTGACGGGCGCAGTACAGCTGCATCAACTGCTCGCTGCGCGGGGAAAGAGAGAGGCGGGGGCGAGTGGCGTCAACGGTCTGACAATAGTTTGGGAGTTTCCATTCTAGTTCATTTTGATCCCAGAGACACCCGTCCCCCCCCCCCCCCCCCACCGATTTTCAATTCAATTTTTTGAAAATTATCTGTAGAACCTAATCAATCTCGCCTGTCCACAACCTTTGAAGCTCCTTCTGTAACAGCCAAACTGCACCGCATTGGAAAATCCTCGTCGAGGTGCAAACTGGCAGGCAAGGCTCGTTGTGAGGTTCAACATCACGATGCAGAGAAGGATCCAAATTGCGATCGGCAGTGGTGGAATTAGGTGAGCAGCTGCTAACGGCTAGCATACCAGTCAGGATGGTTACGTTTTCTCTCTACATTTCATGCTGAGCATGTTCAAGTATCCGTTGGGATTTTTTTTAATGCTGATATTTGCCCGAATATAATTCCAATAAAGCAATTCGTCGGCCAAATAATTTGGAAAAAGATGGAATATATCAATATATGAATTTGGCTGTTTTCAACACTTTGTCCAATAGCCTTTGGTTTAACTTTTCGATTATGAGCATAATCAACAAAAATATCATTGTCTTTGTCATAATGTTATGGGATAGCATGTTTCATAAAAAAGTTACAACTATAGTCAAGCAGTTGTTAAAGAGCCATTATCAGCAGATGAATCAATTAGGCTCACGGTATAACAGCCGTCGAGCAAAACCGATGCTCGTCTGGCTAACTCGTCTGTGGTGTTTTACATTGTGTTTCAGCATCAACACACCTGATTTTTCATGACGCAGTTATGTGGTTGTTTGATGTTTAGTTTGACCGCACACTTTGACCGGTGTGGCAACAAACAGCTTGAAGCAAGGCATTGTCCTCTTTTATTTCTTGAATCATTCAATCTGTCCAATTGTTGCTTGACATGATGTGAGCCACGTTTGCAGCCACCACGAGCGCTACATTTCCCCCATGGCAATGCAAGTAAATAAGAGACCAGCGAGCATAGCCTCACATATCTCAGTCAGGTCAGTCGCTTCCAAGTCCAGGTACCGTTACTTCCTTTCCGGGGAGGAAATTATACAGCCAAGCGTGGGACCAGAAGGCAAAGGTGCACAAACCATAACATTCAAAACTTCTTGCGGCGTCCAACTTACTAGGACATGTCCAGAAGCTGGTCCAGATCAACGCCCCTGTAGGTGAATTTCCTGAAGGTCCGCTTCTTCTTGATCTCGGCATCCGCCTGGAAGAGGAGAAACGTCGACATTTAACATTCACTCAATCAAGTTTATCAGTAGGAATTTCATTTACTGATCAGTGCACGACGGAAATGTATAGACAGTCCCCGAACTAAACCCAAAGCAGACACTTGACATGGTCTCGTTACGAAGGACCGTAGCTAAGCTAGCAGTTAGCCTAGCACGGGCAGTCACGTAAAACACATTTCGCCGACATGAACGAAGACCATTTAAGACTGGGGGGTTGTTCATGGCGTCAAACAATCGAACGGTACATCCGTTTGTCCCCAACGTTGTTGGAGGGGGTCAGATGCATTTGGATTGTTTCGACAACAGCTTAGCGGCGAGTTCGAACCTACCATCTTGCTGAGAGTTCCGCGAGAAAGGGAGGCGCGGGATCTCGTTCGTTCTCATATCGCGCGACTTCAGGCAGACCCGACAATACCCCGAGTAGACGCAAGGTGGCAGCAAGTTGACATGGCAACAAATGTACCGGAGTTAACGGTACCGATTATTTTGTTTCTTGTTAGTCCGTAAATACACATAACGAGTCGGAGGAGGTATCTGGAAATCAATTGTACGGAGAATATATATATATATAAATTTTATAATATTAATTTGTCGTTGATGCTATGGTACGAAATGAACAAATGACATGCGACGTTTATGTTCAAATTAATGCTTAACAAAATATTATGATAGTCACATTGACAGTGTTTATTAGTCCTTTTTTATTATAAAAAAAAAAAAAACCTTTTCCCCCTAAACTCAATCACGCTTCGATACGCTCTTCAGAAATATTACCCTGGATTGCTCGCTCAAAAATGACCGATACAAAGAGAACCTAACTACAACTCGTGTTTTTACAAATACATCCAAATATGTGTCCTAAAGTAACAGTGTTTGTCTGGAATGTTCTCACGGATCTTCCTTGCTTGCTATTTTACCATCGGGTTGAATTATAATGAAGAAACAGGGACGTTTAGTCTTAAAAATGTCTTAAATGAAGCGCCCTTTACGAAACACTCTTTCCCTTGACATTGTCCGTTGAATACGGCAATTCTTTGGGGGGCTCTGTTGCACTTTTAAGACACCGCTGGAAGTTGGAAACCGCCGACAGGGGAAAGACGAAGTTGTCACAGCTCTTCCGCCACAAGATGGCACTGTTAGGTTTTGGCAGAGAAACAGGGCCGATAAATCACGGTCAAACATCTCGTGCATCTGATTAATTAAAAAGTATATTATATACCGTACATGTATTTAAATAATATGCGTCACTACGAGCGTGAAAAGCGACCCGATTACCAGTGAAAGTAGTTTCCAAACGCACTTTCAAGCTTTTTTTCCACGTGGGTTCGCCCCCCAAAATAAAATACGAATTAAAAAAAGACAACGTCGGCACGGTATCTTTTTGGGGACAATGACGTGTGTTAACGTAAAAGACACAGAAGTTGCAGCGAGCCAATAGTTGGAGTGTGGTGGGGTAATCCAAGGAGCTCTCCTTCTTCTTGTGATCTAAATTTAAATGTGGCCCAACCTTAAAAGGTCCTGAGGGCGCCTTGTGCGTTCTGCAGAGTCGCAGCATTATTTTTGGTTTGCGGACCACTCTTGTCCACTGGCCCTCGGTCCTGCTTGTCTCGCCTCGTCCTGGATTTACTTGAGTTGACATTTTTAACGCCTCACATTTATCCACTGTTGGGATTCTCGGAGACTTGATTGTGGTAAGTCCTGTCTATTTATTCCATGAATGAGTAGTTGGCGTGTTTGGGTGTGTCACATATCAATTAGAAGGCTCCTCGATGTTACATTGATATGCAATTTATTGGGAATGTGAACGCGCCGCCCTTGTTCAGGTACAGGCTACGTGTTGCGTTGTTTTGAAATGACTTTGGAAAAAAAGAAATACGGCACACATGAATTATTGTACTGATGTCAAAGTGAAATGATGGATAAATGGGCACAACAACATGCATTAGGAATATCACCGTCATCTCATTCTGGAGAGTGCTAAGCGTGAAAACAAGGAGAGCAAGAGTTCAATCAGGAAATGTTTTGTGGAGATGACCACAGGGTTCTCATAACATCTCTCTTTTATATATATATATAAAAAACAATCATTATTTGTTGTTATTTTTTCTTCATCAATATATCCAAGTTTAAATTGCTTGTTGTTATTTGATTAACTTTTGCTTGTAACAAGGCACTTATGTTTTCTGTTTTGTGGTTATTTTTATGACAATTTTGTTTGTTTATTTTAGGATGTTTCTTTTTTCTCTTACTTATTTGAATGATTTCATCCCTCTAGATATAAGTTCAAGTACTTTAAGAATGATGTAATAAGTATTAGTTGTACCTCCCAACACCTGCAAAATGGCACGGAAACCTCCTCACAAATATGAATGCAAGTTAATAAATGAATTCCCATATTCAAGAACAGCAAACAAAGGGCTCCAATAGACAACAAAACAACCCGTGTGATCATAAATCAATAAATAGGACGGTCATAAACCAATCTGCATTGGTCATAAATACATCTATGATGGTAACGATGATGTTTTTTTTTTTTTTTGAGGCAGAGCTGGTCCAGACGTAAAGTGTGTGACATTGCGGAGCGGCACCCAAGATGTCAGGATCAGTGCAAGTGTCACAGAAGGAGCGGCAGCTGCAGCATCGCAAGGAGGAGCATCAGAAGGAGGCTTATCGCCATCATCATCATCATCGCCAGCAGCAGCAGCATCATCAGCATCAATATGAAAGCAGCAGTCGCTTGAGCACGAAGTCATCCGCCAGCAAGCAGTCCTTCTCCACTTACAAGACCACTAGCCATCGGTAAGCGACGGTGGCGTTGCAATGGATAGCCGAACACAAACGGTACTGCGACACGTGTAGACAGACCTTCTCACAATATTTACGGTCATGTAGACAAGGTCATTTTACAGATCCCAAAAGAAGACTCTTCAAGATTACTGTCCCAGGAACATTTTTTTTTTGTTTAATGGGACAGAAAGATGGCTAAACTCGGTGGGTCCAGATACCTTGGGGATGAGATCTGCAGCACTGATAATAGCCGGTATCAGTCAGCTACGTGAACCACTCCACTTATCAATGGCCGGTCATTTTTCAAGAGCAGACAAGCGCTCTTGTTTTAGCTCAAATTCAGCAGTTAGTTTTGATTTTGAAAAAAAAAAAAAAAGTCTGATGGGAAATGTCCATCTTAGCAGCGAGCTGCAGCATCATTGTTCGTTGTGTCAAAGCGCATGTGCACTTGTGCCTCGCACAACATAAGTCAACACGTATCGTCGTGTCCTTCACGCAGCAAGCGTGGCACTGTTTCTATAAAGAGGTCAGGGAAGGAATTTGAGCTGGAGTCAAGCACTGCCGGATACGTTCGCGACCAGCTGGGCTATTTGTGAAGGCCGACTCGGACACTTCACTTCATGGCGCCGAAGAGACCTTCCTTGAATTTTGATAACACTGGTCAAAAGAAAGTCTTCACTTGTTTTTGTTCGAGCACATCAGGTCTGTGAGATGTTTTCATTTTTGCTTTTCCATTTGGTTTAAACGAGGGGGTTGGCATATCTGCTGAGTTTGTTGACCTGCCTTGTATTTCGGTAAGAGACATAATGACCGGGGTCGTGACACACGCCGCCCGCACAGCAGACGCGGCATGTGTCAAGCTGACGTTAACGTGGGACGTTTGCATTTCGGCACAAAAGCCGCCAGACACGGCACGTGGAATTAGCTGCTTGAACACCGTCACGAATCGTAACGGTAGCGAGTAATCAGTAACTCGGATCAATTCAAGCGTACGATCTTGTATGTTCGGACCAAAGATTAAAATGCCTGCAACAGCCCTGGCCACCGGTTGAAGAAATGTATTTCTTTGCGTCATCCTGTTACGGATTTAGAACCCCATAAGCAAGTGGTGTCCGGATTCAGGCTTAGGTGGCCTGAAATACATCTTTCGTTTTGACATTCGGTGCCAAAAGACACAGCGCACGCATGCCAGACCCCCTCAAATAAACAGATGCACATTTCAGTCATTGTAATAAAGAGACAGGCACGAAGCACGACAACAGGAAGCAAACGGTGCTTTTTTCCATCGTGCTCATTCAGGTCTCGGGCGAGTTCGAGCCGGTGTCAGCAAAGGCCGAACGCGTGCTCAAGACTCCCTCACCGCGCTTCCCAAGTGCATCATGAATATGGATCCGGAAATTACAGCGGTGGCTTAGCGTGCTTTGCCTTGGGAAAGTTGGCTTCATTTCATGTTAGCAATGCAAAGTCCCACCCTTGACATGCTAATGATTAGCGATCGTTTGTGTCAAATTTTGGATTCGTGGTGGGGGGGGGGGGGCGCTGAAACAGATGAAGGGCATTTCCATTCATTTGATTGGCAAAAGATGACTTGAGACATGAGTGTCCTTAGCACAAGCGTGTCTCCAGAAGGCACTCCTATGTCACGGCACCACTGTACAGCCTACTGTTTTCTGTGTTGCTTTCAAGCATGAAAACCACCGCAAAGTCCGACGAGAAGGCTCTGCGGCGGGCGGTCAAGTCGTTGAGTCCGCTGCCCAAGCGGGCCAAGCGCACCTACCTGGCCACCGACTTGGACAAGGAAGTCATCGGCTACGTGATTCCGATTTTCAGAGCCAAGTGAGTGCCGGCCGAACGGCTCGATAGCCCGGACCTTTTTGTGACGAGCGGAATCGAGACGGCTCCCGGGATTTGCGTGAAAATCCCGTTTCCGTTGTGAAGCCGCCAAGAGGTGCGCGCCTTGATGGAGGCCCGCGAGGAGGACGACGCCGAGGAGGGCATCAACTACGTGGCCATGAGGAACCTGTTTGTCCGCGAGGCCAGGGAGGCCGCGGAGGTCAAGGTGGAGAAAAAGAGCAGGTTCACGCGCATCCGAGAGTCGGCCGAGCGCGTGCAACTGAACAGGACCGTGAGTCATCCTCTGTCCATTTTTTGCCCGAAACAATTCATGATCCTAACGGCCATCTCTCCGTGCGCGGCCGCAGTTGGATGAGTGGACGGAGTTCCGCAAGAAAATGAACCCGGATAGTCTCATGCACCCCCCGGAGATGACCACCAAGCCCCGTGGACAGACTGTTTGGGAGGGCCGGACCATCAGGCTGCACTGCGCCGTGGCTGGCTGGCCCAGACCAAGGGTCGCCTGGTAAGAGAAGAGAAGAGAACCTTTATTTGTCCCACACTGGGGACATGTAGCGCTAGTCGTATTTTCAATTGTCATCGTATAAGGCTAAAGAGAGGTCAAGCGCTCGAGTTGGAAGACAAAGGCTTGTCGTGTGTTCATGCGCCATTCAAGGTACAAAAACAACGTGCCGATTGATGCCAAGGCGCGCCCCGAGAAGTTCACCGTGGAGAGCAATTACAACATGCACTACCTGGAGATCAAAAAGTAGGTCCTCGCCAAGCCTCGTTGACACGAAAAAAAGTCACTTTTGCGTTCACGTGGGGCGAAGATGCATTGGCTTTGCTTTTTGCCCACCCCCGCCCCCAGCTGCGACTTCCTCGACACGGCCGCCTATCGGGTGTCTGCGCTCAACGTAAAAGGAGAAATGTCCTGCGTGGCCACCGTGGTTGTCAAACGTGAGTACGTCGCGGTCAAAAATCAGCATTTCTTTTGGAGCGGGGGTGGGCGAACCATGGCCGCATAAGGCCCGCCCCCTTTTTAAGCCCCGCCCAAGGACCGTTTACATGAAAATGTCATTTCATTTTAGTAAACCTCAAGTCAATTGTAAATACGATTTAAAAATACAAATGAAAAACGATGGCAGAAAATGATTGTTTGAGAACGAACCCCTTGGAGTGTGTTGAGCTTTTTCCGTTCTTGAACCCTTTCAGGGACAGCGGTCACTACACTGGAGAGCTTATGGCGTTATCAGGTGTTATCAGCTTACACGGTGCATGAAAGGGTTCAAATAAGCGCAGTATATTTTGACATGAATGTTTGTGTTTATGGAAAAAAAAAAACTCCATTTTTTTTAGCTGGCTCAGCTGTCCAGTATAAGAATCAAATGTTGCAGTCGCTTTGATTTTGAATGAAGGACGGCTATTTGTTTTCCTTTGCAGGCTTCCACGATGAGGAAAGAGATCTGACCGTGACCCAACCTCGTGAGTCAAGCCGAGTTACGGCTTAACAATGATGACCGTGATATTTGGGGGAAAGATCCTTACATTAAAAAAAAGCATGATCTTTATTGGCGTGACCTTTAATGGTATGCGAGGGGTGCGTGAGTTTCTCAAGGGAGAAGGTCTCAAAAGGTTCGGGGGAAAGAACGCTTTTGATGAGCTTTGCGCGTACGCGCGTTTGTGAAAGCGTTTCCTGCATTGCAGACGGCTTCGGCTCCCACCGCGGCGTCACGTTCGAGACCACCATCCTGGACAAATTCAAAGTGGCGTGCGGCCGCGAGGGGGAGACGCTGAGCCTGGGTTGCACCGTCGTCGTGTATCCCACTGTCAAGAACTACGTGCCCGAAGTGGTGTGGTACAAAAACGGTCAGTCCACCCACTTTTGGGCTCGGCGGCAGGCAAACCGTTCGGGGCGTTCGATCTGAAGCCTTTTGACTTGGCTCGCCCGCAGGCGCGCCGCTGAAGGCGTCGCAATGGGTGCACGCGCAGTGGGCCGGACAGCGCGCCACCCTGACGCTGGTCCACCTCAACAAGGAAGACGAGGGCTTGTACACCATGCGTGTCATCACCAAGTCCGGCTATGACGCCTACTCCGCCTACGTGTTTGTCAGAGGTTGGTGGGTCTATTGGGGGGGCGGGGCGAGAAAAAACGTTTGCGAACATCTTTGCGCATGTTTGCGACCTTGAACGAAGCCTGACGGAAAAGCAACATTCGGGCCGCACGCAAACCTTGGCCGCTCAGTGAGAAACGGGCTCGAGGTTTGCGTCCCAAGACTTTTGTGCAGAAAGTCGACACGACGCTTGAAGAAGTAGGTCCGATAGCGGATACCGCGGGCGGGGGTCGTAGAAAGCGGACGGATTTAGAAACATGACCGCTCGCAGGACGTGCGCGTTTGTTTTCCCGCTGCCAGATGCCGACGTGGAGGTGGAGGGGGTCCCCGTAGCCCCCCTGGATGTGCGCTGCCACGATGTCAACAAGGACTATGTGGTGGTGACCTGGAACCAGCCCGCCGTGGAGGGCAGCGGCCCCATCCTGGGCTACCACGTCGAGAGGTAGCTCCGCCCCCCCGCCCCCGAGACCTCCTTCGGTTAAAATGCCAAAGGAAGCGAGCGGACCCGTTTGATAGTCGCCGTCATTTGGCTATTTTTAAGTCTTTATTTTGGGGCTTCAGGCACAAGCGCTGATCCCAAAGTGTGTCCGGTGAAGTCAAGTTTATTCGTTGTCCTTCGTCGCAAGAGCGTTTCAAAGGGCTTCCTTCCTTCACCAATGAGCCCACACTTGACCGTTGAGCGACATCCCCAGATCCAAAACACCCCCCCAAGTCCCCCCAAGTCCTTTCAATTGAACGGCATGAAAGCAGGATGCGCATCCGATGACCTCCTTTCCATTCCATGTCATTGTGATTTTTCTCTCTGTGGTCAGGTGCGAGGTGGGAACGCACCACTGGGCGCAGTGTAACGACACGCCGGTCAAGTACGCCCGCTTCCCCGTCACGGGCCTGGTGGAGGGCCGCTCTTACGTGTTCAGGGTGACGGCCCTCAATAAGGCGGGGGTGAGCCGCCCGTCACGCGTCTCCGACGTGGTGGTCGCTATGGATCCCTTCGACAGGGCCCGCCTTCTTGGTGAGGAACAATAGGGGAGGTTCCGTTCAAGTGAACTTCTCCAACTATTTGTGCCCCCTCCCCTCCCCCCTGCAGGACCTTCTGCCCCTTGGACTGGCATGATCAAGTTCACAGAAGAGGATCACACCGGTATTAGCTTCTTGACTCAAACACAGCGCAACTGGAATGTCTTCCCAGCGCCTTACTTTTTGTTTTCCACATTTGCCAATCGCAAAAATCTGCGAGGAAGTGATGCCTTGCTCACCCTAAAAATGGTTTACAATCACTTATCGATGCCACAAGATGGCGGCAAAACACAACTTTTGTCGAAATGAAACTCCTCAACTCACTTCAACATAGTTCCTTGGCACCAAGACGCCGCAAGTTGGTGGCAAAGCACTATTTTTGTCTGAATGAAACTCCTCAACTCACTTCCTTGGCATCAAGGTGCCAGAAGAGGGCACCAAAATAAGAGTTGTATTCTTCTGGTTTTTCAGAGTTGTTTCTCCGCAAAAATCTGCAAATCTGCTTTCACTGTAAATGCATTCTTTTCCGCTCAGATTTCTACACAAAAATGACACCGTGAGGTTTTTTTTTTTTTAAACACAAAACTAAGAAATCATATGTAAGTACAACATGAAATGTGGAAAAACAAATGAAGGACTGTGAAGACTTTATGGATGATTGCACTGTCAGTTATTATTATATTTTGTTTTACATCCAACTTGTCAAAGTGTGTTGCATCCTCATCATCCGCGTGATGTGTACCCCCAGTTGGAGTGGTCCCCGGAGAACCCACTGAGGTCGTGGTTACCGAGGCGACCAAGAGCTACGTGGTGCTCGCCTGGAATCCCCCCATCCAAAGGGGTCACGAAGGAGTCATGTATTACATTGAGAAGGTGACAAGAGCTTGATGAACACGAAAAAAGTCAGATGACAAGATATCATATGGAATCCTGGATATCATCGAATACGTCATAGTCCTCGTTTCAAGGAAATGGAGCAACATTTCTGTGATGATTTTTGGGAGTGACAGAGGAGTCTTTTTTTTGGGGGGGGTAAAATTGCTATGAGAAATGAAACTAAATACATACACCGGTATATATTAAGGAGTCTTTTGAGAATATTTGTCATTTCGCCAACATTGCACTATGACAAGAATAATGCTTGTGACTTACCACAATGAAGTTGTCATACTGCACAAATGAAGTCCCTTTTTTTTTTTTTTTCCCCCATTGGAAAACTGTCTTCAAAGTCGCCGACGGCTGCTATTTCCTTCAGTGCGTTTCAGGCTCCGACACGTGGCAGAGGGTGAACACCAGCATGCCCGTCAAGTCTCCCCGCTTTGCCCTGTTCGACCTGAGCGAAGGCAAATCTTACAGCTTCCGCGTGCGCTGCTGCAACTCCGCCGGCGTGGGCGAGGCCTCCGAAGCCACCGGCTACATCACCGTGGGAGACGTTCTCGGTGAGAGCGCCGCGCGTCGCGCAAACCTTTGACCGCGGTTGAGAGGAAGGAACGTCAATCGCGGTCACCCACCGCCGTGCTTCCCGGACAGACCCGCCGTCTTCTCCGGGCGCGCCCGTGGCCACCAGGAACACCGGCACCTCCGCGGTGGTCTCCTGGGCGCCCTCCAAGGACGTCAAGGACCCGGTGGGCTACTACGTCGAATACAGCGCGGTGGGCACCGACGTCTGGATCCCGTGCAACAACAGGCCCGTCAATCAGACCAGGTGAAACACTTTGGCGAGAGGAGCATGCGCTACAAACGATCGAGGCCGCTGGAGACGGTTGGAGCAAAAGTGTCGGGACGCCCGATCTTCATTTAAGCTGTCAACGGAAGGCGAAAGCTGCGCAATATTGAAGTCATTCGTGTGCTATAAAGGAAGTGAGCCTCGTTTAAGTACAACAAAAATCAAGTATTTGCCCTTTGAAAACGCCTGTTGTCATCTTACGATGAAAAGGCGCGCTCCCCGTGGCTAAAATGGAAAATGGACAAAAAAAATGCAAGTGCTTCAGAAAATGGATGGCTGGAGAGATCGTTTTTTTGCTCAAGTCTGTGACTTGGTTCCTTTCTTATTTTCCCGTAAAAACCAGAATCTTACCAGAATTGAGTCCAACAACATTTTCCAAGCAAAACGATATACTGTACTCTTGAGATATGATGAGGAAAAAGGTGACATCTTTCAGATTGAAGCTCATTATTATGAAAAATCATAATCTAGCCGTATGCTACGGAAAAAAAAACTATTCATCTAACAAGAATATATATATATATATTTATAATTCTGAAATATTGCAAGAATAAAGTTGGAATTTTATGAGGGGGGGAAAAAAATCACGCACACGCACGCACACGCGCACGCACACACTTCTGAATTGTTGGTTTGTGGTCGGTGTTCAGGTTCGTGTGTCACGGCCTCCCCAGTGAGACGACGTGCGTGTTCCGAGTGAAGGCGGTCAACGCCGCCGGCTATAGCTTGAGTTCCGCGGCTTCGCAGCCAGAGCTGGTGCGGGCGGCCATTTGTGAGTCTCCTCGCTGCTATTCTGACCTTTTAGTCTTTCTCTCTCTCTCTCTCTCTCTCTCTCACTCACCACCGGCGCTCCAATTTCATCAACTTTTAATAGACTGACGAGAATACGTTCTTCTCATTTTACGTTCATGTGCTTTGACTGTCCTCCTCCTTGTTTTTTGTTGTTGAAATTCAACATTATTAAAGAATAGTGCCTGCTTACTCATGTTGTGTGCATGCGCATCACAAAAACCTTTGTTTTTTTTTTTCTTTGCTTTTTTGTTTTTGTTTTGTTTCGTTTCTGTGTGGCGTCGGCGTTGACGTAGCTGCGCGCTAACTCTTCGGGAGGCCTGCTTGGTGCATGGACGAGGTGAAAAAGGCTAAAAACATACTTCAAAGAGCACGAAGCTCCGCGTAAGTACTTGATCCGTTCAAATGGCCTTCTGTGTCCCAGCCGTCCCCGCGACGCCAACCGACGTACGCCTGCTGGAGGCTGACAGGGACACCATGGTGCTGGGCTGGAGCGAGCCCGCCGACAACGGAGGAGCCGACATCAGAGGATACTTTGTGGACTACCGCACCGTGAAGGGACGCGCGGTCGGCCAGTGGCGCGAGCTCAACCTCCGCGCCTTGACCGCCGCCTCCTATAAGGCGAGAGCTCAAGCGCCGAGGCCGTTCGGGCCGCTCTCTTTTCACGCGGAACTCATCGGCCTCCGTTCGCGCTCAGGTGGAGAACCTCCGGGAGAACGTGGTTTACCAGTTCCAGGTGCGCGCCGTGAACATGGCGGGCGTGAGCGACGGCTCGGTGCCCAGTGCTGCTTTGGAGTGCCGAGAGTGGACCCTGACTGTGCCAGGTAGACCGCCGCGGGGGCGCCACAAAAATCCCACATTTTCCCCATTGCGTTTAAATGACAAGTTTGAAAGCATCGCTACGGACAACAACGATAACCTTTTATGAACTCACAACATCTCTTCATTCATTTCACGCATTTTTAGTGAACGGTGCAACAAATGTGCAACGATATAAAATACCGCGGTGACCAACTGAAAACGGACAGCTGTGAAAACGGTGGACCGTATCCGCGCAAAGTGTCCTTAAAACGCCCCCCCCCGCCCGGTTTCCTTTCCCAAGACGCTCCCGTCGGTCTTCACGTTGTGGAGGTGCGGGACTCCTCCATGGTGATCCTGTGGGAGCCGCCTTCGTTCGACGGCCGCTCTCCCATCAACGGCTACTATTTGGACTTCAAGAAGGCGTCGGATGGGGAGGAAGGCTGGATGGCCGCCCACGAGAAGGCCAACGAGTCCACCTTCATGAAAGTGAGCGGCACTTCGAGTCGACGCGTTTGGAAAGGAAAGGAAAGGAAAGGAGAGAAGCTCCTCACGAGTGTGCTTGCGGATTCAGGTGAGCGGGCTGCGGGCTGCTACATCCTACGTCTTCCGCGTGCGCGCTCAAAACCTCGCGGGCGTGGGGAATCCCTCCGCGGTCTTGGGTCCCATCCTGGCCGAGACGCCCCCCGGTGAGTGCAATCGTTACCCCTCCGAACCAAAACCGCGACGCTCCGGTTTCAAAGTCTTTCCGTTGACCGTCCCCTCAGGTACCAAGGAGATGTACGTGGACGTCGATGACGACGGCGTGATCTCCATGGTCTACGAGTGTCCCGAAATGATTGAGGGCTGCGAGTTTGTTTGGGCGAAGGATTACCAGCCCATCGCAGACCCCACCAGACTGACCATCGTCGAAGAGAAGGGCAGGTAGGCGTCAATTTCCGCTTTGCGAAGGTGCGCCGCAAGGCTCTGTACCGGATCCATCGAGATATGACGCCGGACCTCTGAGCGTACCGCGGTGGAAACGCGGGCTACAAAAATATATGGCCGATCAATCGCAAGCTTCTTCTTTTCCAGGACCAGAGCTATCTTTAACGACCCCTCCCCGGAGGATCTGGGCAATTTCTCCTGCGTAGTCACCAATATGGAGGGGGTCTCATCCAGCTATCAGCTCACAGAGGAAGGTGAGCCGTGTCCCTCGCTGCGCTTGCTCTTTGTCGGGCGCGCGGAGAGACGCTTTGGAAGCGATCCACGCGATTCCCAGCTGCCGGACAAATGGAAAGTGGCGTTGTGTGCTCTGAGGGAAATCGCTTCTTTGTTCTGCTCTGGATGTTGTTGACAGGTCTGATGCATCTGCTGGACGTCAGCCACGACCACAAGTTCCCCGGTGAATATGCCGCAATAACAAGAACACACGCTTTCATTCTGTGACTCTGCTCAAAACAAAACACTTTTGTGAATGGATTCATTTGGTTATTTTTACTGAGAGTATGTGTCGATTCACGTCCTTATTTTTATGCTTTATCTTATCTGTCTTTTTCCTCCTCATTTATTTGCCGTTAGTTATTTTTTTGTGATTATGTTTGTCTGGTTTCCTATTTTTTAAATTTGCTTGATCTATTTCTTCCATTTCTTTTATTCATTAATTTCTTGTTTTGTTGTTATTAAGTTGTGTCTAATTTTTTTGTCTCATTCATTTGGATCAATTTCTTATCTCCATATTTTGTACGTTGCCATCTGTCTTTTCATTTATTTTTATTTATATTGATTTTGTCATTTTATGATCTTTTTTTGTATTTTCCATACATTTAATTTCATTGATTAATTTGGTTTTAATTTTTGAAATATCCCCCCCCCCTTTTATTTTTTTTGTTATTTTTGCATGTATGTTTTTATCCTTTCTCTATTCATACTTATTTCAGCAATCGGATTTTTAAGACCAGTTCTATTTGGAATTTGTTCCACAGTCCAAACAGTCACCAACATAAAGCTTGGAAGAAGTGCACAGTCATCGTAATAGTTGAGATCCAAGCATAACTTCAAGTAGCGGGAATTAAGTCGAACCTGAACCTAAAGTCAAAAGCTACCAAATGAAAAGTAATAACAAGGGGCAAATGTCCAAGCATGCCGTGTCTCTGATCGTCAGTTTTCTTTGTCTTTGCGGGTCCTCAGTTATTCCCTTTAAGAACGAAATGGCCATGGACTTGCAAGAGAAGGGCCGGGTGCGCTTCTGGACTCAGGTGGAGAATTGCAGCAAGGACTGTCAAGTCGAATACGTTTTTAACGATGCCATCATTCAGCAAGGAAAGGTAAGAGCCAAGCCTACGTGTGTATTTTTCCCCCACCCGTGTCTTCCGCGAACTAAAATAGTCCTCTTTTTTTTTTTTTTGCTGGTCTCCAGAAATACACCATGAACTTTGACAAGAACACCGGCATCATCGAAATGTTCATGGACTCCCTGGAAGTAGCCGATGAGGGGACGTACACCTTCAATTTGGTCGACGGCAAAGCAAAGGGCACCACCAGTCTGGTGCTCATTGGAGAAGGTACCGCGCCCCAAATGTCAAGCGGAGCTTTTCTAAGATGAGAGCCGTCGGTCGGGCCATTTTTTTTTTTTTTTGCGACGACTTGCCAGCGCAAACCGAGCGCTTGTGCGGTGGCAGCACCGAGCTCAATTCGGCGCGGTTGCAAATATCCATTCTCTTCTTTTGAAACGATTTTCCGATGTGCAGAGTTCAAGGCGCTGCAGAAGAAGTCGCAGTTTGAGAGAGCAGAATGGCTCAGGAAACAAGGTGCGAAGCGATTCCTCTCGTACGCCGTCACATGCGCGCGGCTGTGTTTCCGTGACACATTTTCCTCCACAGGTCCTCACTTTATCAAGTACCTGGACTTCACCATCACGCCGCAGTGTGACGTGCTGCTGCAGTGCACGGTAAAGACAAAAAAAAAAAGTGAACAAATCATTTTGCGACAACACGACTTGGTTTCTCTCCGCAGGCAGCAAACATGAAGGCGGACACGGAGATCATCTGGTACAAGGACAGCCTCTCGATCGGCGAGCGCGACGAGGCCGCCAAGAAGCTGGAGAAGAAGGCCGACGTGCTGACCTTTAATATCGGAAAGGTCGGCGACCGCGGGGCGACGTGCTGCCGTTTTGCCTGGCCGTATCTTTCATGCTAGGCTGTCGAACGCGCAAGACGAAACTGCTTTGAGGGCAAATCATCACGCTTTGGAGTCTTAAAGTGACACGTAGACAGTAAAGTCGACAACATTCGCTCATTTCATTGAGTTCAAAGAAATTGTAAACCCTCCACGGGTGGTCAAGGATAAACGGAGCCGCTCCCGCGCTTTCCATCGACCCACGACCCGCCGTAGGCGGCAACTGACTCTGTCCGTCACTCAACACACAGTTGAGCCAGTTAACGGTCAGCCAACTCTACATTCTCGTTTGCTGACTCACTCGTAAGTCGGCAGGACAGGCAGGCCCCGCCCTTTTTGAAATAACACGCATTCAGTCACAGAAACAGCAGTGCCGTCGAATGTGAGGATGGTGACCCCTAGTGGACAAAAATAATAGCTTCATCTGCAAATGCAGACGCAGGGCACACAGATTGATTCTTCATTCGCAGGGTGATAGGGGCCAGGCTGAAATCCGTGGAAAATAAACAACAAAATCATAGAATTGAAATGTCAAAACGTTGTTTTTTTTTTAAATCTACAAATAGTTCAATCCGTGAGAGTCAAAGCACGTCTGGAAAGTCATCTAAACAGGGATGACTGTATTTAGCATTCATTTCTATTTCGATGAAGCCTTCTTCCCATTCCATCATTTCTTCGTGAAAACGGCTATGTGTCCCAATACGCTTGTCCGCGTCGTGCACTTTATCATGGACGTGAGTTTGTCGTCTGTGCCCTCTATTTCATCACGAACACTGTTGTCAACACGTCACGTTATCATGCATCGTGTGTGGCTCTTTGTTGCCATTAATGTGCTCATGTGTCTTAATTCGCAGTGGGTTAGTAAACAGGACACGCAGGCGCAAAGTGAAGAGAGCGAGCCGCCCGCCGAGGACGCTTCGCCGCCGCCGCCGCCGCCGCCAAGACCCAAAGTCTGCACCATCTGGCTTTTTTCCCCCATTTACTCCATGCTACCATTCCATCGTTTGCCTTGTCACGTCTGCCGCATTTGCCTTTGTGTGTTCGGCCGACTGCGCGGCGATGGAAGACGCGCGCTTCGTCAACGGACGCCGCCGTCATCTCTCTAACGCAAACGCTTTTGCCCCTCAGATTTCCAAGAGCGACGCGGGCATCTACGAAGTGTACCTGAGGGACGAGAGAGGCCAAGACAAGAGCAGGTTCGATCTTACCAATGAAGGTAAGATCGCACACAGGAACTCCACATTCCGCTCACTCAAGCTTCTCATGTAAATCTCCGTGGATTCATTTTTTTTTCTGATATTTGTGTCTGTCTCATGTTGATTTTTTTCCCCCCTGTTTTTGCATTCTTTTTCATTCATATGTACTTTTGTCAATGGCATCTGACTCTCTGTCAAAAGGCTAAAGTCTCCAAATAATGACATACCTTGTATGCTGCCATATTGGACTTTTTTTTTTCCAACTGGTTCACCTCATCATCGTGGCGTCTTCCGTGCTGTAACAGGCTACTGTGAATTTTGGGCTTGTTTTCTGATCTCTTGTGATGTGCCGTAAACTTGCCGGATGGTGTGGTCAAGTATCGCCATCGTTTACGCGGCACCGTGGAACCATCTCAGGTTTCACATTGTCATGGTCAACATCCAGTGACAGAGTGCAAGGAGAGCTGATGGCTTTTGCGGGGGAGGAGAGGCTCTCAAAACCCCAGCTCACAATTTGTTGCCAAAAAAAAAAACCCAAACAACTTCCTGATCCTTTTCTGTGTTTCTCTCAAGGTTACCAGGCTGTTATGAATGAATTATTCAGGGTGATCGGTGAGTGCACACACAAGCTCTTATGTCGGGCGTAAGAAGCGCGCGCGTATTATGATCATCGATGATAAATGCTTGTTCTATGTTGTTTGATTGCAGCCAACTCCTCCTCTCAAATCCAAGTCACCAGCACTGAACACGGCATCGTCCTCTCCTCCGACGTCACGTACTACCACGAGGACCAGCGCATCAACTGGCTGCACAAGTACGGCCGTGGCGGATTGAACATTTGAACAAACCTCTCCTTTAATTGACGCTCCCAATGTGATTTGCATTTTATCAACTCAATGGTAGTTGAATACGGGACAATAAGTACGATCCTTGTCAATCTGCCCGAGTGACCGCTGATGCTAGCGTGTTAGCATTTATCCAGTGGAGTCTTTGCGAAAGGCCAAATGTTCTGAAATAATATCTCACCAAACGCATGGTTAAGCTAACGGCCCAAAGGCTCAACAGAGCAACATTTCAAAATGGTTATTTTGTTGCCGCTCCACCAAGGGACGCCAAGATCGCCGCTTCGGAGCGCGTGAAGGCGGGAGTGACGGGCGAGCAGCTGTGGGTCAAGATCAACGACCCCACCGAGAAGGACAAGGGCAAATACGCCATTGACCTGTTCGACGGCAAGGACGGCGTCAAGCGCGTGTTTGAACTGTCTGGACAAGGTGACTTTTTTCTTCTCCTTTCAAATGTAAGTTTGTGACTGGATACGGTATTCTTAACGTGTGCGTGTCATGCCCTCGTGCAGCGTGGGAGAGAGCATTTGAGGAATTCCAAAGGCTCAAGTGAGTAAACAAACTCATGTGATTCGTGTGCAAATAAATGATTCCATGTGGCCTGAAGTGAAAGTAACATCCTCTGAGCGCTTTCAGACTGCCATCGCGCACATTTTTTCATTCTTTCAAGACACTTCTGAGATTGACTCTCTCTCTTTTGTTTCCTTCTATAGGGCGGCAGCCATCGCAGAGAGAAGTAAGTTGAGCTTGTGGCAAAACATGCCACTTTCTTCTTACCGGTTTGAGTTGCAGAAGTGTGTCCCAAATATTTTTGTATTCCAAAATATTGGACCTTATGAAAACGTACGGTCATGACGTCACGGAACAGCTTTTGCCATTGTGCGGCCTCTTCGGATGTGTCCGCCTCGGCCACCTGTGGACATTATAACGCAGACGTCCAGACATACGGTGCTGTACCTGGAGACGTCTCAGCTCTTCAATCAGCCACAATAAAAGTAGTCGTCCTTCGTGAACGCTAAAAAATAGTGTATATATATAATTGTTAGTAGCCATGTGATAAGTGGCCACCATCTTTCTGGAATTTTCTCAAAAACATCAACTTGCGTTTTTTAAAATACCCGCAAATATTATTTACCTTAAAAAGAAATTACACAAATGTTTGGGTGAGGCCTGGGGTTTATGAGGGATGAACTACATTTCCCTTCATTTCAGTGGGGAAAGGTGATGATACGTTGTTTGCCTTCTGGTATGAGCATCCATTTTTTTCCCCCACTCCTGTCCGTTTGGGCTACAGCATTCATTTATTCCGCAATTAATGAGAAGCACGGCATCATCTATCGGAGAACCGGAAATATTATTATAAATACTCTGCCAAGGACCTAAACAAATACCAAACCAAGTATCCCATCTTGTATTTTTGATCTAGATCGCGCTCGTGTCATTGGAGGCCTGCCAGATGTGGTTGCGATCCAAGAGGGCAAGGTAAACTCATCCGGCTTCTTTCCTATGACATGACCTCCATTCCTCACCTGACCTTTTTTTTTTCCCTCCCCAAGTCTCTTAATCTGACCGGCAACGTGTGGGGCGACCCCACGCCCGAGGTGAGCTGGACCAAGAACGAGCGAGAGCTGGTGAGCGACGAGCGCTACGTGCTCAAGTTCGAGCACGGCAAGTACGCCAGCATCGCCATCACTTCCGTCACCCGAGCCGACTCCGGCAAGTACGCCTTGGTGGTGCGCAACAAGTACGGAACGGAGGCCGGCCTGTTTACGGTCAGCGTGTACAACCCGGAGGATGACGAACACCTAAAGCAGGAGAAAAAGTAGGACCGAGGGTGCAAAGTGGAAGAGTGAATACATTAGTTGGGTGGTTAATGGCAATGCAAAGGCAAGCGAAGCACCGTTTTCTGAGCAAGTCGGTATTTGAAGTCAACTTTGAAAACAGGTTGCTTCTGTGAAGAAAGAAAAGCAATAAAAGAACTCTGATATCACCAGCCACTGTTTGTTTTCTGACTGCGTCATTATTTTGAGTAACCCGTGAAAACAGTTTGCTTCTGTGAAGAAAGAAAAACAATAAAATAACTCTGATATCTCCAACCACTGTTTTTTTTTTTTTTTTGTAATTGAGAAACTTTGACACTTTGCAGTTTGTATTTAAAAAGTGTTGTTGTGCAGGGTGATGCTGAAGCTGCCAAAACTATGACAAAAAATAGCAGGGGGAAAATACTATACACATTTGAAGATCATTCAAAAATATGAGCAAGTAATACACATAAACACGAGAAAATAAAACACCAAAATATATGGACAAATAAATATAAACATGGTTTTACACATTTGTGTAACACAACAGTAATCGAAAGAATTCACAAAAATATTAGATGACAATTACACAAATATTGGATGAAAACACAGAAATATTATGAAAATACAAAAAAAAAACCCACACACCTATATTAGAGGAACAATACACAAGTAGAAGAGTATACAAAAACATTACGATACTAAAAATATCCCAAATATTACATGAAATATACTGAAATATTACTCTCTTTCATGATCTTTTAATATTTGGGGGGACGGGGGGGGGGGCACAACCCCATAATGGTCACCTCGATATTATTTTGGGTTGCAGCTGTCAAATTAGGCCAACCTGTTATATTACTGGTTAAACGGATTTTTAAAAAAGCATGTAAAGAAAAGAAAAGAATACCATAGTTTTTATTATTTCGGATATTAGCATTAATATTGACGACCGGGTACACGCCAAAAGGGAGAGAGAACTCCGGTCTTCTTCTTCTTCTTCTTCTGATTGGTTGCGCCATTGCGCGCGTGCGCGTTGGTTCTCAGCGTCCCACCGCCGTTGTGTCGTCATCGTCATCGACGTCTCGGCGCTCCGCTGGAGATCGGCACCTCTCCCTCACCCCTCATCCGCATCCCAGCTCGGTGGTCCCGGCCGAGGACGCGTCAGTTAGTCGGGGAGGTTCGGGAGCCCGGAGGAGGTGCCGGAGCCGGAGCCGGAGCCGGAGAAATAGTAGTAGTAGTAGTAGTAGTAGTAGTAGTAGTAGTAGTCGTTGTAGTACTAGTACTAGGACTAGTACTAGTACTAGTCCGAGTAATAGTTCCACACACGGAGGCGAGGAGGACATGAAGGACACGGGGACTTGCTGATAAACAAACCTCCGCTGAAGACGATAGAAGGTAAATTCCATATATCCATACCTATTTATTCGGTTGTCTTTTTTTTTGGAGAGGCAGATGTCTTTTTAAGGCGACACTTGATGTCATGTTGTCACATCGCCGAGGCAGCTAGCGGTAGTTAGCATCGAAGCTAGCAGACATTTTTTTTCCCCCCCCGGCTTCGAATGATTCATTCGGTTTCATTCATTTGGGGGAATGCGGTCGTCAACTAAATACCGTCCAAGTGGGCGAGTAAAAAGCTCGCGTTTTCGCCAGTGAACAGAATGTGTCGCTTGTCATTCAACCGTAAAAACCGACGTCAAGTCAACAGCAGCTAGCCGATGGACGAACACGGACCATTCATTTTGGCCTTTTTCCATTTCAACTTGCTTCACTTGTGTCTCGAACGTCCACCGTCAGCCGCCGCGAGAGATGTTTTCCACCCCCCCGCTTTGGTCCCTTGTTGTCCTTTCCCACGAATCCAGCCGTGACGTTCAAAATTCCGCGGTTAAGTTGGTGAGTCATTTGAGCTTTAATATGTCCACATACCGGCTGAATTGGCTTTTTTTTTTTTTTTAAACTTGACATCTGTTCAATATGAGACGCTTTTGTGTTGTGAGTCGGTGGGAGCAATCAGAAACCTCGAAAGCGCCACACAACAGTTAAGTGACAGCTTCTCAAAAGTGCGGTTCCCCTTTTTGGATTTTGGCCCTTATTTGAAGTGGAATTTCCCCAATCATTGCACCGTGTGATGTCGGAAGAGGAGGCAATAATGCGATGCGATACTGCCCTCACTGCAATTTGTCATCGAGACCGATACCGAGTACACACAGGGCCACAATTGCTATCCAGAAACATTGAAATACCAGTTATTGAAATATTTATTCTAGTCACCGTAATCCCTCAAGAGGCAGGGGTGGAGTGCCTTGCTCAAGGGCATCTGACTGGAGCGCGAAGGCAGACTCGTCCCTCTCCAAAAAAAGGTTGCCATGTTTTATTAGATTTTTTGTCCGAAGCGAGATATGAACCACGGCTGTCCGGTTCTAACGCCCAACAAGTCTCTTACCGTGCGTCACAAATTGTAGTTCAATGTACTGCTGTTTTTTGTTAAAATCAATACTTGGGAAGACAACGTTTAAAAAACACTCTGTGTGCAGCGATGGCTGTTTGAAAGTGCTGGAGAAATACATTTGAGTTGAGGTGAGAAAAAATTGCACAGTAACTTACAATCACAACAATGCGGGGTGGGGGCAAAATGTTTTTGCAACTCGTTCAGCCTCCAGGAGAAGTGAGAACAAGGGGCCCACATCATTCATCACCACACCAAATTCAGCCACAGCCTGGTGGTGCCCGCCGAAAGGAGGCGGAACACCCTTTTAGTCACCAGCGGGCACGCAGCAAATTCAGGGAACATGAAAGTGATCAAAGGAAATGGTTTCCTCAACTCAATGAGGAAAAATGCACTTCCACTTGTCATTTTTTTATGTGAAGCCGAGTTGTCCGCATCTGTCGAAAGGAACTCAAAAAGTAACTTGTCATCTGGGTTACTTTGAAAATCAAGTCGTCGGTAAGGGCCGCGCGTTCTTTTTTCAGGCTGACCGCGGCAACACTGCGGCCGACCCCATTTTGCGTTTGGCCAAAACTGTTTGCTGATCATTGATTGGAGTCGCTTGTCGGAAGCCCCGACGGCTGCAAAATGAATGTCTTCATTCGGCGCATGCGCAAAGACACGACGGATCAACTTGATCTTCAAGCAAAGGAAATGCAAAGAAAAACATTATTTGGGGAAATTGAAATAGTTTCCAGAACAGGATGCCCCCCCCCCTCAAAAAAAAACCAAAACAAGAAATACATGAAATGACTTATCTGTCTACCTCTTATCTCAATTTTATGTACTTGGGGGACATTTTCTTATGGAGAGAGCGACATTTTGCCAATAAATAACACCAACACCAAACACGCACCAACTTGAAAACATTTCCGCTTCCTCCCACCGTAAAACCCAACACGCAAAAAATGAGGACAATTGTATAGAATCGAATGAACCAGGTAAACAAACATCGATGTAGCCCAAAAAAAAAAAAAAAACAATTTGAAGAAACTCAAAGTGCCAGTCTCATTCGAGATCAATGTTTGTATCGACGATCGCGAAAACAGTAATACCCCGCCCGCCCCACTGCGGTACCGGAGTACAAGAACGACAACAAGATTCTCCCTCAGGCATTTCATGCAAATGTATCACCTGAGCATTAGCGTGTCCTAATCAGTTAGTCACACAAGACTAAGGCCCGGCAAAACGTCTTAGTCGGCACGTAGGAGGCAACATTTGCAAGCGCGTCCAAGATATTTGTGGCGCGGCGCACCCCGGCGACACTTGGCTCAAGTTGGCGTGAGGTGAGCCGCCTCATTGAAAGCGCAATCTCATCTTGGTGTCCCTTGACTTTTGCTTTTGCTTTTGTTCCCGTTGGCCCGAGAGGAGCCCGGCACCAACCGATGTTTTGCCAACTCCGAAGGCCTTTTCCTCGCGTTTGAGTCCGTTGGCTTGTGCTGCTCCTGGTTTTTTGTTTTTGTGGGTTTCTACTTGCCGCCGCGTGATCATTCCGATCCTATCGTCATCGATTCCCATTCGCGATGGCTTTGGCGAGACTCCCGGCCGGTATCGAGCGGCCGCTCGTCGACGCGTGGCGCGTTTGATTTGGATTTTCCCGGACCGGCGCCGAGTCCGTCCGTTTGTGCCGCTCGCGCTTCCGTTTTGCTCGCTTTCTGTTTGGATCAACAAAGTGTTTGTCACCGAGCGCATGGACTTGGATCCTCTCTGACCGCGGTGCGTCGCGCCTTTGAGTTCGTTTGTTTTCTTTTCTTTTCGGAGATCTTGACTTCCTTTCTTTGTTCCGGTTGACTTGAAAGGACCCCCCCCCCACCCTACCCCCGCTGGTGCCAACCAGCTTTTTGTCAACAGCGAACTTTGATTTGGATCCAATGTGACTGATGTCAGTTTGTTTGGGTGAATACTGTTTGGTTTTTTGGAGTCGGTATCTACTTGTTGCTTTTGTTCTGCGATTATGAAACAAGAATTTGACGTTGATCTCTTGTGTCCGGCGTTGAGCATTTGAATTGGCCTGCTTTAGGTTTTCTTTTCATGGCTTTCTACTTGCAGATTTTGATTTCCGTTGTAACTTAATACTTTCAGAGCAGCTTTTTGTCAACGTTATTATTCTTATTTTTTCAATTTTATGTGATTTAAGGTGCGGAACTTTCCAATTGCGTCATTTTTGACAAGAACGAGCACTCAGTCAAGATGTCGACTCATGAAGCCTCTCGCGCAGGCCGCCCTTCGCGTGCCACTCGTGCTGAAAACAGTGTTGGTTTTCTGTCGGGATGTTTGAAATCGCGTTAATGGTTGATTTCATGCCTATTTTTGTGAGGGTTAATGTTCAAAAAGGACGCTCCCACTCGGTTTTTCACAGTGCTGTCAATGATTTGAATACCGGCGGTGTCGTGCGCGTCGCTCGATACGTCCCTTCGGCGGGCGCGCTTGTCCGCGGCGTCCGCTCCGAGCCGGAATGAGCGCAACGTGATTTGGCTCGCCTCTCTGTTGCCGGTCTGCCGCGGACACGTCGTCGTTGTTGTCCCTTAATCAACAAGCGCTTGTGCTGTGGCACATCCCGGCACGTACGCTCGTTCCTTATATCGTTAGCAGAAGTGTTTTCTGATTTGGGCGGAGGGGAAACTCGCTGGCCACTTTGTATGCAGTATCAGCTTTGTTTTTTCTACACAGAACAGATAAGACGGAGTGAAGCTTGTCCCGTCTCTTCCGCGGTTATCCGGATTCATTTCTTTCTCCGTTGCTTCCCACTTCAAATCCCAACAAATCGGAGGTTCTGGTCCAGATGACGTTCCTCCCCTCGAGGTCGCACGGCCGACATCTTTCCCGCTTTGTGTAACCTGATATGCCAACCAACGGTCGGGTTCATTTCAGCACGATGCTTTGCAGCGCAAGTGGAATATTCCCTCCGCGGCCGGCCACCCCCTTTTTACAGTCCCGTCATCGTCCCGTATTTGCCGTCACATATTTTTGGATGGAAATGAATTCACGTGGCGCGGTAACTCCGAGCCGTTGGACTCCTTTATCCGAACAAAAAAGCCACTCACTTCCCCAATGAGTCACAATAACAAGCAGACAGACGCAGCAATCATCAGATCGCTCATGTGACCGCGCGTGCGTGTGTGTGTGTGAGAACATCACGTCATGCCGTGAAGTCCACCTTGTTATCAGGGGGAAACAAACAGCGCGTAGCGAGTGTGAGGCCTTATCGGCCGTCAGCACCTGAAAGCTGCCATCTCATTGGCTCAACTCTGAGGATCCTGGGAAAGAAAAAAAAACCCCACAAAACACACACCGTGAATTCTAAAGTGGATGACAGCACTTCGCAAGAGCGCAGTGAGCCGATGACGTGATAAGTTGGGGGGAAAATAAAGATCAGCTTCGGGATGGTGGATGGAAGTTGGACACAAAGCGTGCGTGCGTGCGGCGGTCATGGTGGAGTGTCATGCGGTCTTGTGGGGGCCATGAAGATCCTCGCGAACCACCAGCACGGAGGACAAAACTGACAGCAGTGAGTAAATAAAAAGGAAATCAAGAAAAAAGGCTGCAATTTAAAGAAGTACATCAAGAAGGTATTCAAAAGCCCAACTAAAAAGATGTGCCTTAAGCCTCCTCTTATCTCTTGCTACATTTGCTTTTATTAAGACTCATTTCAAGAAATGTGCCGTCGTTTCCGCACTGTTGGGCGCACCTAAAAGCCTTCCATTTTCTTCAAAGCTCACGGCGCGCTTTCAAATCCGATGCGCCTTGTGTGCGGCGATTACGCTCATATTTCCACCCCCAAAACGGCTCCTTGCTCGAGACATGCTGACGACGCAGAGTTCAAACTGAAGGCGATCGGTTACGCAGTTGAAAAAGAGAGTTCGACGTGAACGAGTCAGTCAATGTTCTAACTTGCTGTTGGTGAAGTGAACTGTGTCGCTGCTTCATTCAAGACGTTTTACTGACATCTGAGCGTTCTGTTGCCGTTTTCTTGAGCGTACCTCCATCTAGTGGATGACTTGGATCACAATGAGATTATTTGTGCTGCATCATGACATGAAAAGTGTTTGTTTTTTTTTTTGTGGATTCCCGGCCAAGCGTTGCCACTCTTGCACCCACGTTTTTCCCTCTCCCACGGCTGCTGCTCTCTGTTCGAACTAAAGGCCGGCGTGAGATGGAAACATTTTCAGGTCATGTCGGGAAAGGCAGTGATTTTTCAAGCCCCGCGAAACAAGACCCTGGCCCGACGCGCCGTTTGGCACGAGTTCGCCGGCTTGCGACGAAGGAGGTTTTTATTCTCGGCACTTTGCTCGCAGGCGGACACCATGAACTACGTGGGTCAGCTGGCCGGGCAGGTGCTGGTCACCGTCAAAGAGCTCTACAAGGGCATCAACCAGGCCACGCTGTCGGGATGCATCGACATCGTGGTCGTCCGCCAGCGGGACGGCACCTACCAGTGTTCGCCCTTCCACGTGCGCTTCGGCAAGCTCGGCGTGCTGCGCTCCAAAGAGAAAGTGGTGAGTTCCCTCCACGCTGGGAGGTGTTTGCTCTTTCAGGTGTGTGTGTGTGTGTGTGTGTGTGTACTTTGGCCACCTTAGGGCAGTTGAAGAAAGACATACAGTACTTGAGGCTCAGCGCCTCTCGCGGCTTTTCACTCCAGCGGTAATAATAGTTGTTGTTCACAGAGAATGAGAATGTATGCCTCCGAGTATTATTTGCTCTGTCTACACGTGTTGCCGCACCGCATGTTTTCAGATGCCCATTGTCGAAAGCAGCGGTTCTTAACTGGTGGGTCTTCACCCAAAAGTCCGTTTTGGGTGCAGACAGCTAGTAAAAAAAAAAAAAAAAAAAAAAGACATGCGTTTGTTTTCCGTTTTTTTCAGAACCGTAATGAGGTTAAGTTCCTACATAGAGCATACCATATTGGGTAAGCGTCAGGAAATGTTTCTCAACTTGTCCTCTAGTCACCAGCTACTCTGTGAACAGATGTGCCGCTCAGTCTTTGGCTAGCGAATGTCATAGCCGGAAAGATGCATGACAAACTCATTGGAAATTGCCTTTAAAAATCGAGCATGCTGTACATGTATCTTGAGAGACTATTTTTAAACAAACAAAAAAAGATTGGTCTTCACTACTGTAAAATGGGCTGGGACTTTGCAACAATAGGAAGATTCAGTTCCCGGGGTGACAACATTTGACATCGACGACTGGATTAAAGGGGAACTTTGATGCTAATTGTTAGCCCGTGTGCTTGTAGATTCCCATTGTAGGTTAGCATTCAGGTAGTGAAAGCTTGAAATCCTCGTGCTGTCTAGTTGAGAGTCTGACAGTACCCGCTACCGTGTCAAATTCAAGGGTCCGCGTTATCCCACCATCCCTTACTCCCGATTCTGTCTTGGTGCTACGTGTGTAGAGTAGCAACACGGAAAAACACAGAAAAGTGCAGGCCTTTGCAGGCTGTGTCTTCCCCCTTCTTCGACTTTTTTTTTAATGACTTACTCGAGGTAGTATTTTTCGTGTTTCTTTCTTTGCCTTGATGAATGGTGGTGGGGGGTGAATCTGTGAGAAGTTGGTACTTTCTGACAATTTCTTTAGAATACCGATGGACTCGCAGCAAGGAATGAATGAGCCGTTGCCATGGCAACAAGCACCACCATTTGAATGCGTGGGCAGGAGAAGAAACTGCAGGGGGGGGGCTGTTTTGCAACCAGAATCTCATCTTTTACTGCACCAAAATAAAAGTAAGACATGGGCGATTCTAAAACATACTTACTCAACTTCGCACTGCTGCGTATTTTTAAATGGAGCTATTTGGAAGTGTACAACATGGTCCTTCCTTAGCACACTTGGCCCACTGTGGTCGAGCGAGCCGTGGAGACAACTTCTGATGCGTGCGAGCTGTCACCCACTTGGCAGGGTTAGAGAGGGCGCTCATTTCTTCTGCCTTATTAGTCAATTAGGCATTCAACTCGGCCATCGTCCCTCGCCTTGCGTAAATTCCCCTGTCGGCCCCACAGGGTGGGAAATTAAATCTTGTGACTGCCGAGCAAGCCTCATTTTCAGCGCGGCACATCGGGGTCGTGGTTAGCACGTCCACGTTGCAGTCAAGACGGTCTGGCTTCAAATCCTGGTTTGTCCCCAAAAAAAAAAAAATGTGTGTTTGGTTCATCGGAGACTACAATTTCGCTTGTGATCAGCGGGTGACCGGTTCAGGGTCCCCGCCTCTTAGCTTCAGCTGAAACAGGCTCCAGCTCAGCCGTTTTTCCAATGAGGATGAGCAGTTAAGAAAACGGTTGGGCCGGTCGACTTCCATCAAGTTGGAAACCCAAAAGATTCATACCAAGCTTGTCACTCAGTCGAAACTAAATCCAAAGGACTCTCATTCAAGTCTGGCTTTCATCATATTGCTTTTTGCTCATTAGAAGTCTTTGTTGAATTTTCTTTTCTTGTCCAGATTGACATTGAAGTGAACGGAGAGCCAGTGGAGTTGCAAATGAAGCTCGGCGACAATGGCGAGGCTTTTTTCGTTCAGGAAACCGAACAGAAAAATGTAAGTATGTCACAGTATGACGATTTTTAAACGTACTTCCGCCACTGTCGCGACCGGTGTCCTTTTGCCTCCAAGTGTGTGACATCCGGTCTCACCGGCGACAACCACAAAGTCTGCAGGATGTCGTTGCTGTTGTTCATTTTTGGCCGCCATAGCCTCACGCTATATCTGCGCCTAGTATGGATTTGTTTACAAATAGTTTTGTCTCTGGAGTGCCTACCCACTGATTAATTGGAAATGGTCTGTGTTAGCTGCCTTTTTTTTTTCAAACTGTGTCTGTGAGCAAGCAGTAGGGCTACTTTCCATAATACCGCCTCCAAACAGAGTTAGCAGCGAGATTCATCGTTTGATCGCTCGCTTTTTTTCTTCTGGCTCTGGGCTACAACGATCCACCCGCACCCCCCGAGCTCTACCCCAGGTCGTCATGGTAATGAGAGCCGTGCTTGGCTTCGAGCTTGTAATAGAAGCGGGTGGGGGTGAGCAATGGCTCAGACGCACAAGACAAGACCTTGTTATTTTGTTGTCATTATTAAAAAAAAACAAAACAACCCCCCACACCCCCCCAAAAAACAAGATTTCCCCTTTTAAATGAGTTCCTTCTCCGTCCTCCAGCAGATTGTCCCCGCCCACCTGGCCACATCCCCGATCCCGACAGAAAGCCACCTTTTCTGGATCTCAGAGGTGGAGCACCGCTCGTCGAAAGACTTGGCGGACGACGACCCAGCCGACCAGGAAGACCCACCTGATCTGCCGGCCCCCGCCGCCGTCTCGACAAAAAAGAAGAAGAAACGGAGGAAGAAGCACAAAGGAGACCCCCGCCGGGAAGAGCTGACTCCCCCGATGTCGGTCACCCCCGGCGTCGCTGCGACCGCACCGGCTGCTGCGACCAACGAGGAAATGTTTGAGATGGACCTGAGCTCTGACGAGGATGTCTCAGCGCCTCACGTGTCCAGATCGCCTTCGGTGTCCACAATACGAGATGTTGACCCCAGACTACCGGCGGCCAGACGTAACTTGGATGGTTACGCGCTGTCTGATGGCGACTGGACCACAAATGACAGGTGCGTTTTCGGACATTTGCAAGGATTTCAAATAGAGTAAGTCAATGGTTTTTTTTTCGCCAAATAGTACACCCACATGTGGTACGCGTCGCTGCTTTAATTAGCATTTAGTAGCACTTAGCAGATGACTTCCTGAACTCCTCGTCAGACCGTCCCCGCCCAAACAAATCGACCGTTTGAGAACTATAGATGAGATCATGTCTTCGAGCCGTGCTGCAGGACTCGACCGGTACTTGTCTGTGAACAATTAGTCCCACCTCCAACTCCCAATGTACACATTTTAACATAGACGTAAGAATTCTCCGTTGACCAATCAACGGGTCGCAGTGTGTGTAGCTCCGCCCTGCCAGTGTTTGTACGGATAAAAAGGAGGCCCGAGAGTCAAGAAATGTCAAGTATTTGAGGAAATACGGCACCGGTGGCAAATAAGCGCTCCTTATGTGCGCATGTCTTTCTCTGTCCCTTCAGCCATGACTTTTCCCAGGCCTTTTCTCCAAAGAGTGACTCCGAACTGATGGTGAGACCCTCGGAGACTTTGCTGCGAGCCGAGTCGCACATGCAGTGGACCTGGGGAGAGTTTCCGGAAACCGCCACGGTCAGAAATTCATCTCCCAAATGACATTTGACACGGCTATGTAGTCTTATTCCTTCCCGTCTTTGGATCGCCGATATCCAGGTGACCAAAAAAGACAAAGCGGAGCTCCTTAAAACAGTGAGCATCACCCCTTCCGAGAGCACCCATTTCCGCGTTATCCTCAGCTCCGAGGCCATGGAGGACTACGGCGAAATGGAGGACGCCGACCGTCCCGCGTGCGCCATCGTCAAACCCGAGGCGCGCGCACTCACCAGGACCTCCTCTGCCACCACGTGCGAGAGTCTCGCCACTCTGGCGGAGCCCGTGGACTTGCTGCCGTACAACGTGGTCACCTCCACCCCTGGCGGCGGCCAGCAGAGCGACTCTCCCTCGAAAAAGAAAGGTAGCTTTGATTTTGTCTTGGGCATAAGTAGGGCTGGGCAATGACTTTTCTTGGTGAATTTGAGTTGATTGCTGAGCGCATTTTTCGGGACTGGTTTGGTAGCGCAAAGGGCGTCGTCGCCGACGTGTACGGCTTGCGCGAGCAACATGGCCGCGCACCTCACAGACGCTGAGCGGTCCCTCTTTGCCACGTTTTGTGCGCCTCACTTGTTTTTTGCTGTGCCCAAAAGCAATAGTAGTGTTGACACTTGAGCGTTTTGTTTAAAATAAAGTTTCAAAGCTCGTTTCGTATCGGTAGAACTGAAGCAAATTCAAAAATGGAAAAGAAAAAAAGGAACACTTGTTTTGAATACTGTCGTCATTTGCTTTTACTATGAGCAGAGGGAGAAAATATCGATTAAACTGCGAAAGCCTGCATTTCTGCCTAATCAACCGAGGCCAAATGAATTGCACAACCCTAATCGCGAACGAGTGTCCGATGAATTTGTTAAATGCAGGTGTCCCGAAGAGGAGCCATCATCAGGGCCCCGAGGACATCTACCTGGACGACCTAACTGCACTTGAGCCCGATGTAGCCGCCAGATACTTTCCCAAGAGGTTCGACTGCCGCCAACGTTCAAAGAAAGGAGTCCCGACGTGACCTTACCCGGTATTCTCTTGCCGCAGCGAGGCCGAGGCAGCCGGCAAGCACTGGATGGAAACGGAGATTCGCTCGGGCTCGCAGTCGCCGCAGTCGGTCGGCAGCGCCGCGGCCGACAGCGGCACCGAGTGTCTGTCGGATTCAGCCGGCGACCTCCCGGACGTCACGCTGTCGCTGTGCGGAGGCCTGACGGAGAACGCGGAGATATCCAAAGGTAGCGGAATCGCGCCTTACGCGTAACCGGCCCTCGTCGTCATGGCGACAAAAGCCGTTCTTGGCTTTTGGGACGCCCGGCGGTAGACTGGGCGGAGGGAGCGGTGGTGCAACAAACCCCGGCAATTCATCTGTTAACCGTGTCATCCCTTCCCTCAGATGTGTTTATACCAATTTGGTCGTGTTTTAATCTGGGAAAAACAAAAAAAAGATCTAAATGATGTCTTAAACAGCAGAGAAAGCTTTGTAGAACTTGGGCAAGCAACTCTTGTCTTCTCTCTTCAGAAAAGTTCATGGAACACATCATCACCTACCACGAATTTGCTGAAAATCCAGCAATTATAGATAACCCCAACCTTGTGGTTAAGATCGCAAATAGGTAAGCATCCTTTAGTTTTTGACACCGAAAGGTTTACCGCCGACGAATGCGCGGTAGCTAAGTGGCGGAACTGCTTCTCAACTCTTTGGTTTCTCGCAGGTATTATAACTGGACTCTTGCCGCTCCCTTGATTCTAAGTCTACAAGCATTTCAGAAGAATTTACCAAAGGTAATTAGAAGTTGGGACCATGGCTGCGCTCTGTACCATTGTCGCGCGCGGGTCTTTGAAGACCGCTTTGTATGATTGGCCCAGGCTACAGAGGAGGCCTGGGTGAAGGAGAAGATGCCAAAGAAGTCGGGGCGCTGGTGGTTCTGGCGGAAACGGGCGGACAGTGCCATCAAGCAGGTTTGCGTGGAGTTTGACGGTATTTAGCTTTGTGCGAAAGTATGTATTTCCATTTTCTCGCAGTCCGAGACGAAGCTTGACGCTAAGGAGCGGTCACAGTCGGCGGATGAAGGACCCGCCATGACACAGGAGAATCTCACCTTATTGTGAGTCTCTTACAACCGATCGTGTATCGCTTATATTTGTCTGCAGCAAATGTCATCAAACAAATGTATCTTGAAAGGACTAAAAGCAACGACTCGTCCAGCGATGAAGAGTGCAAGGAAGTGAGCGCCGCGTCGTGTCAGGAGAGACAGCATCTGAACGACAGTCATCAGCATCTGGGCGCGCATGCCTACAGGAAGTCGCTGCGCCTATCCTCCGATCAAATCGTGAGTAAGCTTACAAATGGAACCGATTATAGACTTAGTAAACAGCGCCGTCTGGGGGAGGGGGCGCGGGCTGGAATACAAGAATTTACAAGCGCCTGTTTTGACTTCATTTGCCAGTTTGGGCTTCCATCTGCTGGCTGAAATCGGTACTTGCCGCATTCAATATGAAAAAGCTGAAGTTGCCGTACAGGTTTGTGCCGTAGAGAGGAAGGCCCATTGAAAGTGGTGCTGAAAGATTGCTAGATAGGTACATTGAATACATTGATTGAGATAGATTGGGTGGTTGGGGGGTGGGGTAGGTTGATTGCCGTTGCCCAAAACAGTATTATGCTTCCATAGTCCGGACAGACAGTACATACAAAACAATACAATGTAGTATGAAGCACAGTCGAGTCCACCCTGTACATGTAGAGAAGAGATCTCAGCCAGGTGATAGAGCAAAAAAAAAAGAAGCATGATGACTTTTTTTCATATTGCCCCCTTCTTTTTGGATTCTGCCAATTTTAAATCATCCGGACTGAAAACTGAAGAACCTCGCGTGAAGGTCAACGTTTGAATGTATTTGAGTTCTTGTTTTAAAAAAGATCCAAATAGGAAAAATATCAGCACAATTTCTACTCAACAATTGGAACTGAAGAAGGGTTCAACGAATGAGCGCCAGAGCGCGCGGTCACTCGGAAGCCTCGCGTTCACAAATAATGCCCGTTTAAGACGTCACGTCTTTCTACGGCATTCGTGAATAAGCGGCGTCGGCATTACACGCCTCGGAGGCGTCTCACTCATTCAATTTAGACATATTTGATTTCAATGTGTCTTTGAAGCATAGAGCCAAATTTATCCTCTTAATGTTTGACTACTGGACAACGACGCTCTCATTTTCAAAAGATTCCACCGGATGATGCAACCCCCTGGGTCTTTTGTATTTTGGAAGCATTTCTGCCAGCGCCGATAGCGGATGATTGCGGTTGTCGAAAGAGCATAAACCTCGAAACGGTTCCCCTCTGCAAACGCAGCGGCCGTTGCCAATGCGCTTTGCGCAACAAAAGCACATCATGACAAAGCAATTACCAAACAACAACGTGGGCACAGCAAAGAGAACAAAAGTATCTTTCCATCTGATTGAAGTGACTTCAAGAAGACAACATTTCAGCATATTTCCAAGCCAAAGATATCAGGCCACACAGATCGCCGACGTACTTTGCGCGTTGTCTTAAATCTGAATTTTCTCCGCATTGCGCAACCGACGGCGAGTAACTTGTCTCGTCAAAAGAGCCACATCTGTGGAGGATAACGGGAAGCCACGGCTGACGTCCGCTTCGCTGCCCGCAGCTGCATCTTTAGCTCCGCGTTTGCTCATTGTTGATTTCCTACTATTGCTTTGCGTTGATGTCTTCAACTTGAAAACCAAAATTGAACGGGAAAAGTTTGCCTGTAATTGGCTGCCGTCGCACGTTTCCGCCGCGTCCGATGGAGTAAATACGCCGGCGGCCGATGAGCGACCCGAGTTTTCTGATCACTAATTGTGATCGGCCGGTACGATCGCCCCGCCGCGAACGCATTTAGCGTGGCTCGTTTTTCACCGTCGTTGCGCTTGTGCTGCCAGGCCAGTCTGAAACTGAAGGAAGGCCCCAACGACGTGACTTTCAGCATCACCACGCAGTACCAAGGCACGTGCCGCTGCGAGGGCACCATCTACCTGTGGAACTGGGACGACAAAGTCATCATCTCCGACATCGACGGGACCATCACCAAGTAGGCCGCCCGACCGCACGCGCTCAGGACTAAATGTTCATTTGATTGTCGATTCTCAAATCACGCGTGTAGGATAGGGTGTAGAGGTGCGCGCTATGGACAAAAACATAGATATATCCCCATACAGGTCACTTTGATGTGATAGATATGATTCCCGTTTAGTATTTTGTATGTGTAACTGAGAAAGGGATACCGTGACATAAAATCCGGCTTTTTCGAGCGAGCGAGCGACCTTTTTAGATGAAGGCAATTATACGCCAAGGTCTGAAGATGCATTTCCTTTTTAATGAGCTCCAAGCTCAACTCTGACACGCCACTGACGGCGCCTTCCATCCCCCCCCCCCATCGTCCCGCTCGGCAAAGGCGCATAGGTGGCCCGCACATCAGACGAGCCAGATTGGCTCCGGCTTATTATCTGCCTTGACCCCCGCAGGAGACGAGTGACATGTGGCTTCCGTTAGCTCCATAACGAGCTCGTTTACATTTGAGACGCTTCCGGCCTTTCCCGTGCTTAGCTCGTCTTACTTTGTACGAGAAGGCATCATACGTTGATGGTCGCTTCACCTCAGTTCTGTCACCTGCAGGTCCGACGTGTTCGGACAGATCCTGCCGCAGCTTGGGAAGGACTGGACCCACCAGGGGATTGCCAAACTCTATCACTCAGTAGCTGAGTAAGTGCCCAGTGACCATTGGCGACATGGGAAGGAGCGTCTGAGCTTGAGTCACAGTTGTCACGCTGCGGCTTTTGCCTTTATTGATGAGGGCGTGCTTGAAACGGAAACATACTTTATTATTTAAAACACACGCACACAATTTAGAGTTCCCAAAATGTTTTTTTTTTTTTTTAACCATGACTTCTGCATCAACAAAATGAACAGAACTTGGTGTTGTAAATAGAAACGTTGAGCTGCACACTTTTGTATGCAGACTGCGGATGAACGGCGCTGGCGCAAAGCCCTCCTCCTTTGTAATGTTGTGATGCCGGCCGGCTGTGTTAAAACTTCAAAATGCTGGAATTTGGACACTCCTGGTCTTTAATAGTGAAGAGAATGTGAACGCTACGATATAGCCAATGAAATGAGTGCCGTGTATTCTTAGCGGTTTGCCTTTGCCTTCTCTTTGGCCCCCCTCGGCAGGAACGGCTATAAATTCCTGTACTGCTCGGCTCGCGCCATCGGCATGGCGGACATGACGAGGGGCTACCTGCAGTGGGTCAACGATGGGGGCACCATCCTCCCCCGCGGGCCCCTCATGTTGTCGCCCAGCAGCCTCTTCTCAGCCTTCCACCGGTAACCCCAACACGCGCGCGCACAAGCACACGCAGACTCGTGAAATGCGGTTGCGCCCCAATGCTGTGCGCATCGCTATTTTGTGTTATTTTATCCGTGTTATGTCTTTTGAACTCTGCTTTAACTTGACATAAAATGGCGCCCTCGTCCTAAGGTTTGTAATTGAGTCGATACGCATCAACAAGATGGCAGCAAAGCACTTTGATTCTGTGAGACAAAGCTTTGGCCTGACGAGACAGCTCAACGTTGGTACTAACCACCAGATGGCGCAAAAGCATTAATTTATGAGCCACGGCTGGAATTTTTCTGCAGAAAAAGGGACGTACAGTAGGTGAGGAAATGTATTTAGTTGCGTCGGGATGGTTTTGGTCACATTTTTTTTTTCTGTAGCGACAATTTCAATTCAGATGATTTAAAATAGCACATAGGATTTCAGTACAGATCTTAAGCCTAACATTGAAAAGCGTTACAAAATAAACACAACACGCAAAGATTGAAAAACCGCCTCCGACTGATTCCTGAAAAGCTCTCCTCGAAAGAAATATGGCAGCCTGTAGCCTGTGGCGGCCGCAGGTGCTTTGGCCGAGAAAGTCACAGTTCCGGCCTCTCACGCTATTTGCCAGCACGCTTGTGAGAAGACAGTTAAAAATGATGTGCCAATACAAGTGAGGTTGGCCGTGACACAATTCGGATTTTGTTCCGCTCCCTCGTGGCGCGATGGGGACACACGTGGAGGCGGGGAAAAAAATCCAAGGAATTGGATCTCTATCGTATCGTGCTGATCGATAGCCTTTGCCTTTCTCATGGCCCGTCTAGTTTTAAGTCTTCATTGGTTTGATTTTGATCTTTATTGAAACCGCGTGAGCTCAATCAAAATATGCTTTGTCCATTTTGATGTCAGTACCATGAAATAAAAGCTGGCGAACTTTAGCCCGATATTGATCTATTGTATTTGCAACCAAAAATGTCGTCAGTACACATACAAGACAAACAAAGGAGGTGACCTCGCCGTTCCACTGCTTTCGGAAGGGAGCGTAGACTGGAACCAGTCCGATTTCGATGACGGCCGCTGTGTAATTTGGACTCCCAGGAAACAGCGAAGGCCTCTGGCGTCCTCTGTTGACATTTTTCCCAAACGCACCATGTGTCGCGCTAACCCGAGCTCTCGATTACAGAGCATTTTCATTTTAATTACACTGGAAGGGAGTTGTCTGCTATATTTTCTGCCGCTGTTATGTCGTCGTCTCGGCTCGGCTCGTAACCACAGCAACGTCCGAGGCCTCGCCTACGACATCTGTCATAACAGCCCCTCATTGTGTTCGCTCTGAGCACGAGGACATTCTTGCTCCGTGTCATGCCCGTCCAACTTAACCGAGGCTACGATCACGCCCGCCCGCCTCGTGTTTCTTCAGGGAGGTCATCGAGAAGAAACCCGAGATCTTCAAGATCGAATGCCTGACGGACATCAAGAACCTCTTCCAGCAGAACAAGCAGCCGTTCCACGCCGCCTTTGGCAACCGAGCCAACGTGAGTTTTCACCAGACGCGACGCAAGCCAACCGCGTCATGTGATCTCATGCAGTGAATCTCTCCAGCCGCGCCAACGCAAGCAGATGACTGTGTCCCTCCCAAGAAAAAGTGACACACACTGGCTTCGCATCTCGTCTCCATGTGTCATCCAGACACGCAATCGATCGGGGCGGGGCGGGCAGATATCTGGAAACTTGTTGCTAGTATGATGCAGGCTATTATGCAATCACGTATGAGCTCATCTTAAATATGTTGACGCTCTTGTTAAATATTATTGTTTCCTTCATGGCCTTGGGCTGGAAACGCGCGTCGATGTTTACATCCCAACCGGGTTTAAAATTGTGACTTACTTGTACAGTAAGTTTGCTGTCCGCCGTCTAATGCAAAGCGCAACTTTTCTTCTTGTTGTCTGTGTAGGACGTGTTTGCCTACAAGGAGGTGGGCGTTCCCGTTTGCCGGATCTTCACAGTCAACCCCAAGGGAGAGCTGATCCAGGAGCAGACCAAGGGCAACAAGTCCTCGTATGTACGCCTCACTGTGACGGCCTTTCCTTCTTCATATAAAAAAATCGATTGGATTGCTTTGGGGGCAGGGAGGTGCCATGAACGGATTCCGAGCATTTCCGTGATTTTTCAGTTCACGTGTTTTGAGTTGGTTGCAATGAATTCAACTGGCGTCTCAAGGCGCCGCTGCACTCGGTTGTTTAATTTCACAGTTGACGGGCGGGAAGACGCTCGAGACAAACGGCCCTTTGGATCCAAACAATTGAAAAATGCATTTTCCGTCCCACGCGCTAGATTTCAAGATGAGCCCGTGTTTGTCTGTCCAGTTTGTCGTCAGTACACATACAAGACAAACAAAGGAGGTGACCTCGCCGTTCCACTGCTTTCGGAAGGGAGCGTAGACTGGAACCAGTCCGATTTCGATGACGGCCGCTGTGTAATTTGGACTCCCAGGAAACAGCGAAGGCCTCTGGCGTCCTCTGTTGACATTTTTCCCAAACGCACCATGTGTCGCGCTAACCCGAGCTCTCGATTACAGAGCATTTTCATTTTAATTACACTGGAAGGGAGTTGTCTGCTATATTTTCTGCCGCTGTTATGTCGTCGTCTCGGCTCGGCTCGTAACCACAGCAACGTCCGAGGCCTCGCCTACGACATCTGTCATAACAGCCCCTCATTGTGTTCGCTCTGAGCACGAGGACATTCTTGCTCCGTGTCATGCCCGTCCAACTTAACCGAGGCTACGATCACGCCCGCCCGCCTCGTGTTTCTTCAGGGAGGTCATCGAGAAGAAACCCGAGATCTTCAAGATCGAATGCCTGACGGACATCAAGAACCTCTTCCAGCAGAACAAGCAGCCGTTCCACGCCGCCTTTGGCAACCGAGCCAACGTGAGTTTTCACCAGACGCGACGCAAGCCAACCGCGTCATGTGATCTCATGCAGTGAATCTCTCCAGCCGCGCCAACGCAAGCAGATGACTGTGTCCCTCCCAAGAAAAAGTGACACACACTGGCTTCGCATCTCGTCTCCATGTGTCATCCAGACACGCAATCGATCGGGGCGGGGCGGGCAGATATCTGGAAACTTGTTGCTAGTATGATGCAGGCTATTATGCAATCACGTATGAGCTCATCTTAAATATGTTGACGCTCTTGTTAAATATTATTGTTTCCTTCATGGCCTTGGGCTGGAAACGCGCGTCGATGTTTACATCCCAACCGGGTTTAAAATTGTGACTTACTTGTACAGTAAGTTTGCTGTCCGCCGTCTAATGCAAAGCGCAACTTTTCTTCTTGTTGTCTGTGTAGGACGTGTTTGCCTACAAGGAGGTGGGCGTTCCCGTTTGCCGGATCTTCACAGTCAACCCCAAGGGAGAGCTGATCCAGGAGCAGACCAAGGGCAACAAGTCCTCGTATGTACGCCTCACTGACGGCCTTTCCTTCTTCATATAAAAAAATCGATTGGATTGCTTTGGGGGCAGGGAGGTGCCATGAACGGATTCCGAGCATTTCCGTGATTTTTCAGTTCACGTGTTTTGAGTTGGTTGCAATGAATTCAACTGGCGTCTCAAGGCGCCGCTGCACTCGGTTGTTTAATTTCACAGTTGACGGGCGGGAAGACGCTCGAGACAAACGGCCCTTTGGATCCAAACAATTGAAAAATGCATTTTCCGTCCCACGCGCTAGATTTCAAGATGAGCCCGTGTTTGTCTGTCCAGTTACTGCAGGCTGAGCGAGCTGGTGGAGCACGTGTTCCCGCTGCTGAGCAAGGAGCAGAACGAAGCTTTTGCCATGCCCGAATTCAGTTCCTTCTGCTTTTGGAGGACACCCATCTCTGCCGTGGACCCCGCGGACCTGCTGTGAATATCGCTCAGGTACTCTCTCGCTCTCTTGCAACGTGGAGAGGACCAAGACGACGCGTAACACACTTCAAAGGGCGGCCTGGAGGATCAGAAAACCTTTTTTTTTTTTTTTTTTTACGGCAATTCCCTGGCACCGCAAATGTACAAAAGAGACACCTGAGAGATGCTCGCTTTTGCCAAACCAAACGCCGCCTTAGACGCACTTCTGGACCTGCTTAACGGCTGCCGCAGTTGCGGTACAGCGAGAATGAGTCACGCTCAGTATTCAAGGTCATGCCTCCGCTCTCAACACCAAGCAGCTACTCCTCACGCGGAGGCCTCTCACTTCAATGATGAGAGGACAATATAGGCATAGAAGGCTCTATTTACGATGCTCAAAAACCACCTCTGATCAGTCATTATTACTCTTATTTATGATGATAAATGATGTGTTTAAGTTATTACCGATTGCGATGCCTTTTGCTTTGTCTGAAGAAGTCTTTTACGGCCACGTTGTTGGGCAACATTAGCACTAAATGCTAACAGGAAGCCTTTTTACTTTGAAGTCAATAATATGTTCATGTTTGGTACGCGCACATTCCTCGGTATATGTACACAACCGTTCAAATGACTTCATTCAGTTTGGGGTCGCTTATTATTCATTGAAAAAACAAAAAACAAATACTTTTGGAAAGAAAAGCACGAGAACGAGACGTACACAATAATATACCATTCAAAAGTTGAGGCTCTTTCAGATAATGAAGCCACATCTGTACCTTACATACATGGTGAGGGGAAAAAAGCCAG